TGGCCATTACGAAAATCCAAATGAAGACGGTCTTGGACCATTTGTACTGATATTTTAAAAATCACAAACTGGGTAATTCATAAAAAAAAAAAAAACCCTCCAAAATGATTTTCTTTGACTTTATGTCTCATATCTCATATACAGGTCACGCCGATGTAAGAGGTGGGCTCCCATGTTCTTGGGCAGCTCTTCCCCTGTGACTTTGAAGGGTATAACCTTCCACCTGTCTGCTTTCACAGGCTGGTATTGAGTGTCTGGCTTTTCCAGGTGCACAGTGCCAAAGCTGTCAGTGGATCTACCATTCTGGGGTCTGGAGGACAGTAGCCTTCTTCTCACAGCTACACTAGGCAGTAGTCCAGTAGTGACTCTGTGTGGAGGCTCCAACCCCACATTTCCCTTCTGCACCACCCTAACAGAGGTTCTTAATGACAGCTCTGTCCCTGCAGCAAACTTCTGCCTGGATGTACACACATTTCCATACATCCTCTTAAATGTAGGTGGAGGTTGCCAAATGCCAGTTCTTGACTTCTGTGCATTGTCGGCTCAACACCACATGGAAGCTGCCAAGGCTTGAGGCTTGCACCCTCTGAAGCCATGACCTGAGCTATATACGTTGGCCCCTTTCAGCCATAGGCAAAACAGCTGCAGCAGCTGGGTTGCAGGACGCAATATGGGGACCCTAGGCCTGGTCCATGAAACTGCTTTTTCCTCCTAGGCCTCTGGAAAGGAAGGCCATGAAGACCTCTAACATGCCCTGGAGAAATTTTCCCCATTGTCTTGGAGATTAACATTTGGTTCCTTGTTAGTTATGGAAATTTCTGCAGCTAGCTTGAATTTTTCCTCAGAAAAGGAAACTTTCTTTTCTATCGCATTGTCAGCCTGAAAATTTTCTGAATTTTTATGCTCTGCTTCCCTTGTAAAACTGAATGCCTTTCACAGCACCCAAGTCACCTCTTGAATGCTTTGCTGCTTAGAAATTTCTCCCACCAGATACCCTAAATCATCTCTCTCAAGTTTAAAGTTCCAGGAATCTCTAGGGTAGGAGCAAAATGCCTCCAGTCTCTTTGCTAAAACATAGCAAGAGTTACCTTTGCTCAGTTCCCAACAAGTTCCTCATCTCCATCTGGGATCACTTCAGCCTGGGTTTCATTGTCCATATCATTATCAACATTTTAAAAGTCACTGAACAAGTCTCTAGGAAGTTCCTAATTTTCCCACATTTTCCTGTCTTCATCTGAGCCCTCAAAACTGTTCCAGCCACTACCTATTGTCCAATTCCAGAGTTGCTTCCACATTTTCAGGTATCTTTTCAACAGCACCCCACTCTCAGTACCAATTTATTATATTAGTCTGTTTTCATGCTGCTGATAAAGACATACCTGAGACTGGGCAATTTGTATGGGAAAAGGGGTTTAACGGACTTACAATTCCACAAGGCTGAGGAAGCATCACAGTCATGGTGAAAGGCAAGGAGGAGCAAGTCACATCTTAATGGATAGCAGCAGGCCAAAAGAACTTGTGCAGGGAAACTCCTGTTTTTAAAACCATCAGATTTCATGAGACTTATTCACTATCAGGAGAACAGCACAGGAAAGACCTGCCCCCATGATTCAATTGTCTCCACGCTGTTTCCTCCCATGACATGTGGGAATCATGGGAATTATAATTTAAGGTGAGATTTGGGTTGGGACACAGCCAAACCTTGTCACAGGCCAAGGCAGGAGGATCGTTTGAGGCCAGGAGTTTGAGACCAGCCAGGGCAACATAGCAAAACCTTATCACTACAGAATATTTTTTAAAACAGTAGAAGAAGGAAAATGTAATCATAATTCACTATGTGGCTTGGCTGTGAATGAAAATAATTGTTTCCTTAAACCTGGATCTACCTTAAAATGGTGATAAATTAAGATGATGAGAGAGAGAAAAACATATGTCTATATTTGAGAAAAGGAGACATAGCCTACAAAATAGTTTCAAAGAGGTCTATACCATAATGGAGAATGAAAGATGAGAAATGGTTCCAGATTGAAGGAGACCAGTGGTATAACGGTGATATAAGATGAATAATGGGGCAACACGTTTCCAGCTTACTCTCAATAAAAAGTTTCGGATACCTTCTTTTCTCTCTTTTGCTATCTCTATCCTTAACTTTCTTGTGTCAATTACAGTTTATTTACAGATGTAACATAGGCATGCTTCCTCTCACATTTATGTTATTCTATCAGTTTTCTTTCCTTCCTTTTTTCCTTTGTCCTTCTTTGACTTCCTTTTTTTATTCCCTTTCTTCCTTGTTTTTCTCTCTCCTCTTTTTCCTTCCCTCCTTCGCTTACTCCCCTTTCTTGTTCTGTTTTCCACAATCTCTTTTTCCTTCCTCCCTTGCTTCCTTTTGTTTCTCCCCATCATCTGCTTTACTCCTTGGATGTTTATTTCCCTGGTCCGGTCTATATGGGCTGTTCTCTAGGTTTGCTGCAAAGCTGTCAACCTGGAACATTGTCTTCCAGGGAATTCCCTTTACTTTAATCTTCTGTTGTATCTCTTGTTTTGGGGTTCTGTTTCTTCTTTCTTGGCATATACCCTTATTTCGGAGAAGTAAAGAAGCTTCCAAAGAATAGGAACATGGGAACTTAGTTTTCGAAGTCTTCTATGTCTGAAATGGCTTTATTCTGCCTGTATATTTGAATGACAATTGCCTGGCTATGTATAATTCTAGGTGGAAAATACTTTTCTCTCAGAATTTTGAAGACATTGGTCTATTATTTGGTTTTCAGCATTGCCATTTAAGAACTCTGATGCCATTCTGATTCTCAAGATTCCTCCTTTATTTTACTTACATTCTTTCTTAAATCTTTCAGGAATTAAAAAATCTTTAGTATTATGAAGTGTCATGGTGATGGATGCTTGTAGGAGTACTAACTATCCAGCCAGTGTCCTGTTCATTTTGGGGAGACCTGACAAGCCCTGTCAACCTGGAAACACTTCATGTCAATGATATTTTTCTTTCTCATTTTCTGGAATTCCTTTTATTCGGGCACTGCCTGCCTGGATCCTTTCATTAAAAATTTTTTTTTTTCTCATTTTTCCATCTGTTGTTCTTTTGATTCACATAGTGGGACAGTTCTTGAGCTCTGGATTTCAAACCTTCTGTTGCGTTTTTATGTTGCTATCATATTTTAATTTTCATGTGTCTCTTTTTTGGTTAGTGTTGCTGTTCTCTGACTATTCTTTCTAAAAACAGAATGGTTTCATTCATGGATTTAATATTTTCTATTATCTATCTGGTGATTTCATAGTTTTTTAAAAGTGTTTCTGTTCTGTTCTATCTGCTTCCTCTAATCTGCTGTTTTGGTTTGTTTGTGACTTTACACCAAATAATAAAAGGCAGAGTAGACATTCTGCGGCATGGCAGGGGCTTCAATGTAGGGTGGTTGTGTAGAGACCTGGCTAATTCATTAGGAGTCTACAACTGTCAGTTTTTCTCCAAGATCAGCTAAGAGAGGAAACTTGCAACTGTGGTGGGTGCTGTGGTATGAATATTTGTATCCACCCAGAATTGATATATAGAAATGCTCATTGCCAAGGTGATGATAGTAGGAGATGGAGACTTTGGGAGGTGATTAGGTTATGAGGGTTGAGTTCTCATGATTAGGGTTAATGCCCCTATAAAAGACCCAAGGCAGACCCTCACCCTTTTTTACCATGTGAGATTATAGTGAGAGGAAGCTGTTCTGTAAATTAGAAAGCGGGCCCTCACCAGATGCTGAATCTGCTGGCATCTTGATCTTGGACTTCCTAGTTAAGAACTGTGAGAAATAGATTTCTGTTGTTTGTAAGCTAGCTAGTTGATCATATTTTTCTTTAATAGCATCCTAAATGGACTGTGATGGGGTCAGAGTTGTACCTTCCTGCCAGTGATCTTGGGGCCAGGTGAGGAGGGTTGCATGTCTTTTGGTCTGCAGGCCTTTCACTTGATATCTGTATTTTCATAGGACCTCTCCTCCATCCTACCGGATTCTCTTGAGTTTAGACCTTTCAGAAAGTAAACTTCCAGTGTTCTGCCATATTGGCATGGGAAGGTTACCTCATTGCATAGGGTAGATGAGGGAATCTGAGGTTCTAACTCTTTTTTTGTTGTATTAGATCTTCTTAATAACCAATTGTTTGGTTTTTTGCTCTGTCACAACCTCTATGTCCACAGGTTCTTGGTGGTTCCAATTCCTGAGGCTTTCTGGTATTCTACATCATAAATATCCTTGCTTCTTCCTAGTCTCCTGTTCTCTTCTAGACTAATTTTCAGTTTTCTCTGCACTGCTATTTTAGTTACCACTTGATGATCAGATCTCCAGTTTCCAAAAAGTAGTTGAAACATTTCGCTTACTATAGTTTTTTCTTCTTACCCTTGCCTGAGACCATTTGTGCTACTATGACAAAATATCTGAGACTGGGTAATTTATAAATAATGGAAATTGATTTCTCACAGTTCTGGAGGCTGGGAAGTACAAGATCAAGGTGCTGGCAGTTTTGGCATCTGGTGAGGATGCTCTCAGCTTCCAAGATGGTGTCTCTTTGCTGTGTCCCTACATGGCAGAAGGTGAAAGGGCAGAAGAGGCACTAGCTAGTTCCCTACGGCCCGCTTATAAGGCAGCTAGTACCATTCATGAGGGCCTACCCTTACGACTTAATCACCTTTAAAGGATCCATGTCTTAATACTGTTGCATTGGGGATTAAGTTTCAGCATGACATTTGGCAAGAACAGAAACTTTCAAACCATAGCAATCCTTGAGGGTGTGTTCTTTTCATTTGTTTGTTTCTTTCTTTACTATCATCTTTTGGGTGGGATTTTCAAGAGGAACAGGTAAAAATACATGTTCAGTATATCACATTTAACTGAAAGCCCAATAATCGTTTTTGTTGTTGATATATTTCATTAATATTGATAGCATCTGTAATTAGAAGTTTAATTTTTCGATCAATATTCATTTTTGAATGTTTTATTTCTTAGGATGCCTCACTGATGGATATGAACTCCTTCAGCCCTATGATGCCAACATCCCCTTTATCAATGATAAACCAAATCAAGTTTGAGGATGAACCAGATTTAAAGGATCTCTTCATCACAGTTGATGAACCTGAAAGTCACGTCACTACAATAGAAACTTTTGTTACGTATAGGATTATTACTAAGGTAAATGTTGGATGAATGTTTTCTTGAATGTAGCTGCGTTTTTTGAAGTTTTGGAAGTAAGTACCTCTTGTTCATTGTAATTCTCAACATTCCAGGATCTTAGCTAAATTGACTTTTAGTTTTTCAAACTTTTTGGCTAGGACATTGCATCTTATTTGCCCTTCACTTGTTCTGTGAAATTCAAATTGACTTGAGAAATAGTCACTCATTTTATAGCAGCTATGCTTCTTAGAATAAGAACATCTAAGTTTTCAGCTGAAAAAAAATTGTTAAGAAATACCTTTGGAAAAGATGGGCCTCAAATTGTTAATAAAAAAAGAAAATAGTTAAGTAGGACACAGTAGTTTGTTTTAGGATTTCTTTGGAAGATTATAAAATATAATACCATTTGTTTTTCAAAGGGGGCAGGTGGCCACTTTGTCTCATATATGAGATATTGTTGTGTGTGTAATAATTCAAGGGCAAAGTAGATGTTAGAACACAGATCTCTTTAATCTTAGGGCAAAGTGCTGCAAAGACAGTTTACCTCAGACACAATTAAGCAACCATCCAGTATAATCTGTATTTTAAGTCCTTTATTTAATAGCATCTTTAAAGAATTATCTCTATATTATTTTGTTTATAAAGCCTCATCTTAGACATTTACACTTCATAAATGTAAAAGTACGTCTCTTTTTTTTGTAGCTGAAAGTGTTCTGAACTATGTTGCTGTAATTGCTTCTTATAATGAAACTGCCACACTACTATTGGTTATATTTCCTGAAAATATATGTATCTGATTTCTTCACTCGAATTCTTAAAATCCTTTCTTGGCCCCTGATTTCAGGCAGAACGAAATGCAGACTTTCTTGTATGACATATAAAGAGGCTTCTCAGTCTGGTGCCAACTTATGCTAAAGACTTATTTCTTACGCCTCACATTTAGTACCCTTGCTCTCTACTCATGTAGAGCTGCTTCTGTTTTCTGAATATTTAGGGGATCTCTTGCTCTTGCTCTCATATCTTTGCATATACTTTTCCTTCTGTTTGCTGTGTCCATGCCCTTCTTAGACAAAAGAAATCATGTTTAGTTTTCAATATGCAACTCGAAATGTTAGATGCCTCTGAAGACTTCTCTAGTTGTTACTGTCCCTTGGCTGAAATAGTCATTCTGCTTCTGTTTTCTCATACTGTTCTATTGAACTCTTAAGTAATGTAACACATTAGAGTCAATAAAGCAAAACATCAAAAGCATGTATTTAATCCAACTAAGCTGTTTTTTCTTTAATCTATAAAACTGAGATAATAGAACCCACTTCTGCAGGGTTGCAGTTGAATAAATAATGCAAACCCCACTTAGTAAGGTGCCTAACACATGATAAGTGTTCAGTAATTGCCATCTCCCTGTATTTGAATAGATAACTATGTTTATTTGTATTTATGCTCAGTGAGTCTGTGAGTTTCTCAAGGAAGATAACTATATTTTAAGTTATCCATACTTCCAAACACAGTACTTAGGCCATAATAAGTAAACAATTTATTTTGTTGATGAATGAGTGAAGGAATTATCTTAGCTGTATCAAGATGTGGTAGAGCAAGACAACATGGAGTTGAATCTTGATTTCTCCCCTTCCTTGCTATGTATCTTGGACAATTTAATTAATCACTCTATATTAGTTTTCTCATTTGTAAATAGGATAACAGTGCTAACCTCATAAAGTCTTTATGAAAATAGAATATGTTAGTACAGGCATACTGCTAGGAATAGAGTCAGATTTCTCCTATTACTACTGTTATAATTATCTATTGTCATTATGCATCATAGCAAATAAGTTGTGAAAATGAATTATTTTGCCATCACTTGGGTCTCTCAGAAAGATACTCTTTCTAAAACCTTATGAATTTCATTCTGATGACAGATGTACAGTTCTTCTGAATTTTCCATATTTACAACATATTTTCTTTTTATTTATTTATTTTATATATACATATATAGGTATGTTTATATATACATATATGTATATATAAACATACAAGTATGTTTATATACACATGTGTGTTTATGTATACATGTATGTTTATACGTGTATATATAAACATACATATGTTTATACATATATATGTATATATATTTATTTTGTATATATATGTATATATAAAATTGCATTTTAGGTTCTGGGATCCATGTAAAGAACATGCAGGATTGTTGCTTAGGTTCATACATGGCAATGTGGTTTGCTGCCTCCATCCCCATCACCTATATCTGGCATTTATTCCCATGTTATACCTCCCCAACTCCCTACCCCACACTGTCCCTCTCCAACAGACCTCAGTGTGTGATGCTCCCCTCCCTGTGTCCATGTGTTCTCATTGTTCAACACCCACTTATGAGTGAGAACATGCAGTGATTGATTTTCTGTTTTTGTTACAACATACTTTAAATGGACTGGTCTTATAGAAATAGTAATAGTATTGGTAATAATAATATTAAAGTGTATAAACTAGAGAATATTTACTGTGCAACTCCTTTGTGCCAAGTAATATTCTAACCAGTTTCTACATGACAATTCATTTAGGTGCATAGTAATCCCAAATCCATAAACATAGATATTATGATTTACCCCCATTTCATGCATGAGAACGCTGAAACTTAGTAGCTTGTTAAAGGTTACACAACATAGTAATTAGCTGAGCTGAGATTTAAATCCACACAGTTTACTTTCATTCTATACATTTTTTTCTATTGTATTTTTGTGCATTTAGGTATGCATATGCATGTTCTCTTAGTACATATAGAAGTAAGAACTAAGAGATTGAACAAGGGACTTTCCTTCTACTTCCTCTTTGTGAAAACAAACCTATAAATGCCTGTCAGTACATAGTTGGGGTTAAGCTGTGTTCTTGATTGGCTGAACTATTAAAATTCATTTTCCCTCAAAAAAAGTTTTCTAAATTCTCAGAGTATAGAGTAACTGTTCATACTTGACTAAAGATTGTTATTTTTGCAATGAATGCATTTTGACATGTAGTTCACATGAGTTCATTATTACTAAACTTTAAGTCCCCAAGCATTTATGGTCAGACATGAAATATTGGCCACCCTTTACAATATTGCTTCTATGGAAAACTGTATTCTATGTTAGAAGCATTATTTATACTCTAAATGCACTTTATAAAATATATTTCTAAGTTGGAGATACGTCATCAAACCCAGTTATGCCTACAGTTAGGAAGCTTTTGTCATCTTTTGTCTTCTTTTTTTTGAGATGGAGTCTTGTTCTGTTGCCCAGGCTGGAGTGCAGTGGTGCTCTCAGTTCACAGCAACTTCTACCTCCCCGGTTCAAGAAATTCTCCTGCCTCAGCCTCCTGGATTACAGGCACACACCACCACACCCGGCTAATTTTTGTATTTCTGTAGAGACAGGGTTTCACCATGTTGGTCGGGCTGGTTTCGAGCTCCTGACCTCATGATCTGCCTGCCTCAGCCTCCCAAAGTACTGGGATTACAGGAGTGAGCCACTGCGTACTGGCATCTTATAATGACCAAATTCGTTCACCTTAGAGTAGACAATGATTCTAATCCTTGCTCTAGGGAAATTAGTCTTGTTCCAAACCCAGCTGATAATGACTGTTTTCCTCATCATATTCTTACATATATATCTCTTATAACCCTTCAGGAAAAGAATGAAATCTTAAGAGTAGGAAGAAGGACCATATTCTCCTCCATACCTGCACATATCCTCTGTTTTCTTCTTCTATTGCAGTACATTAGAGAATTCTTTTGAGTCAATGACAGAGTAATAAGGATAGACTGAACGAATTATTTGACTTGATTTTATATCTTCTTGCTGGAATTTACACCAGATTGTTTTGTGTTTACTTAAAATGTTGGATATTCTTGAGGACATGTATAGCTCAATCTTATTTTAACTGCTCAGTTTTTTCCTTTTGAGTGCTTTATTGTTCCTTATGCCAATTTATATTCTGAGAAATTGGTAGTGGACCTGTACATATGTAACAGCACAAGGAGGTGCTCAGTAATACTTTTTAATGAGTTGCTCTAAACCGTGTTTTGGGTGTATATGTATGTGTACATGCATGTGTCTATTTGCATATGGACATACACACACCAACCAGTCTATATTGTTAAACTGTGCTGCTACTAGATTTAGTTTTCCTGTTTTTACCATTTCTGTGTCTTATACCACTTTGCATAATAGCTTAGATTTTGTAGTGTTTTGTGACCATTTAGTTTCTTAGACTTCTGCATTTCATTTGCCCCACTTTTTCCCATTATAAAGGGAATGCTGTACAAAGAGACATTATATGATGTTCTGAACATTCATTTTAAGAGCATGAACTTTGGAAAGTATAGCTTTCATGGACCTTATTTTATGGCAATGAAGATTGCATCTTCTGACTTGGACTGTTTAATTTTACAATGGTGTCCATCTGTGTGGGTGATTGATATTTCTGGTGAGTGTGAAATATATTTGCAATGTGTTATTCCATCTTTACTTCTGCAGGGAAATCTCAACCTAAACATTCTGCATGTAATTTTTAATATGCAAAAATTCAGTTAAGTAAGGTATTGGTGTGAGTGACTATTTTCTGATGAGACGTGAGTATGCATTAGATGAATTCGTATTTTTGTCTTTGACTTGGGACTCAGGCGATAGAAATGAGGTTGATACTGTACCTATGTTCTTGTCATATGTGTTGGCATGGATTTTTGGTTTGTTGAGAGCTGATATTTTAATGTATTTGCTTAATTTTTAGAAGTTTAGGCATATAACCCAAAATAAAATTCCTTGAGAAATGACAGGACGATTTTCTTTTCACATCAAATGTCTATTAATTACATCTTTTAAAACAGTGGTAAAATCACTTTGTAAAATGTTAGAACTTTCATATACCAAAAGCAAATCCTAGCACAGCAATTCATTTGAGCAAATTCCAAGAAAACATTTTTCTCAGTTACATTCACGTTATTTTCCAAATTGCAAAAATAGGACTTTCCTCAAATTCTGAATTCTAATCATCTTGAGAAAAGAAATATATTTGAAACCTAAATTCAGAACACACTTTCTTGTTAGCAAGAAAGTCATGCCAAAGATAACAGTAGTTAAAATCTTGTGGAAGGCAGATGGTTGTTGTAAGACAGATTTTTCAGTTTGGATTTTAAATTTAAGTATGATATTTGCTTTCTTTCTGGAAATACTGGAAAGTTTGCTTTGTTTCATCTGCTACATGAATAGATGACAAAAAAAATTACAGGCTGACAAACACTGAATAATTAGGATTTGTTAATTTTTCTTAGAGACCCATTTATTTCACAATGTCTAAAATAACATTAGGCAAATATCTTCTATCTTCTACTGCATGTGCTATTATTTTCTCCTGCTTTATTCAGACATCTCGTGGGGAATTTGACTCCAGTGAATTTGAAGTTAGGAGACGGTATCAAGATTTCCTTTGGTTGAAGGGAAAACTGGAAGAAGCACACCCCACTCTGATTATTCCAGTAAGTTTGCAAAATTTTTTTCATAGAATAGCTACCAATTTTCTAGTGAGTCTTTTAGAATGCCTGAAACCTAATTTCAGACCTTAAGTTCACTGTAATTCATTTATCTTAGGAAATTATTTCTAAATGCTTTAATCTATGTATACATTTAAAAAAAATCTTCATAATGTGTTATGATTTCTCAGTTTTGGTTCTAACATTGTGAATTTTTAAAAATTATTTTTATAAGAAATGGTTAGATGTTCAACTACTATTCCAAAAGGGGGATACATAGAATTCCTTATAAACTTGTGGCACATCATACTCAGATACCTTTTTTATTTTCTTTTTGCCTTAGCCATTGCCAGAAAAGTTTATGGTAAAAGGAATGGTGGAACGCTTTAATGATGACTTCATTGAGACACGCAGGAAAGCTTTACATAAATTTTTGAACCGAATTGCTGATCATCCAACTTTAACCTTTAATGAAGACTTCAAAATTTTTCTCACTGCACAAGCTTGGGTAACTAATTTTTATTTATACAGTCTTTGGGTGTCTGTATCTTTGTATTCTTCCTCTTGTCTGCCTTTACAAATCAGGCAGTGGGTTACTTGAATTGAGATGGAATTTTTCAGAAATGCTGGAGAGTTATCCTTCAGATGTAACCCAGTGTCAAGTCTCCATATAAGTATTACAGAAGTCTTGTATCTTTTTCCTATATATATGTGCACACGTCATGTACACACACACACACACACACACACACACTTGTTGGTAAAGTTTGTTTTAATGTCAGGGTGCTTCTTCCATAAATAGCAAATGCTGAACAGATATAAATATATTTCTTTCATTGACACTATTGTTGACCCTTGAACAACAGGGGTTAGGGGAGCCAACCCTTTATGAAGTTGAAAATCCAAATATAACTTTTAAATCCCTAGAAACTGAACTACTAGTAGCCTGCTATTGGTTGGAAGCCTTAACTATAACATAAGCAGTTGGTTAACACATATTTATATCTTTTGTATATTATATACTGTATTTTTGCAGTAAAGTAACTTAGAGTAAAGAAAATATTATTTAAGAAAATCACAAGGAAGAGAAAATACACTTACAGTGTTCTACTCTATTCATTGATACCATAAGTTTATGTTGTCTGTTTACAAGATGAATTGTCGGTCTCAAATGGAGGGCAACGATGGTGGCAGACCTCAGTCTGTGGTACTTATCAAGCAATTCAACCTTTTTTGTAAGCCATGACTTTTCTCCGCTTCTTGGGAACACTTCCGGCATCACTAGTGGCACTTCATATGGGTCCCATGGTATTATTCCAGGTTTATAGTATTGCACTAAACACAATAAAAAAGTGCATGGGAACCACAAGCGATCACTTTTTACTGCTATACCCAATTTACTGGAGAGATGAACTGCTCATACGGAGATGACTGGCATCACATGGTGGTTTAAGTGGATATTCACAATACTTACGCTTGCCACAAATAGCAACAGGAGGGCTACAAAAATAGTACAGTAGTACAGTGTGCACTCTAGTTAATTTTAAGCAGTTATGATTTAATACTGCATCTTTATGTTTGTTTACATTTCTCTAAACTGCACATGGTGGCATGTGAGTCAAAATATGTGCATACATTTTGATAACTTTTAACTTCTTATAATAGATTTATATATTAGGGTAGTAAATGATAGACTAGTATCTACATGTATTTTGTGCATTCATTACATACCTTTCTCTGAGTTTTTCTATATTTCTAGGCTATGGGGTTTGGAGTTTTTTTAAACTGTCACAAATCTCAAAAATATTTTCCAATATATTTATTGAAAAAAGGCCACATGTGGCTGGGCTCAGTGGCTCACGCCTGTAATCCCAGCACTTTGGGAGGCCAAGGTGGGCAGATCACAAGGTCAAGAGATCGAGACCATCCTGGCCAACATGGTGAAACCCCGTCTCTACTAGAATACGAAAATTAGCTCGGCGTGGTGGCCCGTGCCTGTGATCCCAGCTGCTCGGGAGGCTGAGGCAGGAGAATCACTTGAACCCAGGAGGCAGAGGTTGCAGTGAGCCAAGATGGCGCCATGGCACTTGAGCCTTGCAACAGAGTGAGACCCTGTCTCAAAAAAAAAAAAACAGTTCACATGTGTGGACCTGTTCAGGTCACACCTGTACTGTTCAAGGGTGTACTTTATTTTGAGTAATAATGGGTCAGGGCTTTTAAAGTTAGGATAAAAGTATATTGAATGGGTAGATGGATGAATGGAGATGGATGGATGGATGATTGGATAGATAGATAATATCTTTTCCTTTAATTAAGTGGGGGAGTGTCTAATTTCTAATACAGAAACCTTATCCATTCTACTTGTTTTTTCTTTTATTGTGTAAAGCTATAACTCAACAAGAAAGATACCAGAGAGGACAAAGGGACAATATTAAACAGTACTGAAAAATGTTGAGTTTTATATCTCTCAGTTGTTGCCAGCGGTAGAAACTAAAAAGTTGTTTATTTCAATCTTGACAGTCCTGCTCTATGGAAGCCCTTTGTGACTTATGTGAAATGAATGTGGCCTGACTTAAGAACCTCAGAAGTGTTAGAAATATTCTCCACAGTCAACAGTTTCAGTAACAGCTTGCCTGTTGTGATGTGTGCTGTCTCTGATAATGTTTACTCTATCAGATGAGGCCATAGCACTCTTGGATGGATGCGTTGCCTGGTCAAGGATGGCATCTGTTATTATTTGCACAAGAAAAAATCACACTGAATTGGAAATAAACAAGTTTACTTTGTATGTATTATTGTCTGTAAGATATTCAAGAAAGGAAACCTGGAGGAAGATAGAATGTGCTATTTAATATTTGGGTAAATAATGTATCATCTTTTTATCTGTAGTTTAGGTAGTCAGTAGTATTTTATTTGATCCCAAGCTCGTGTTTCAACAAGGGCCACAACCGTTATCAGGATCCCTTGTCCTTTTTTGTTTTTATTTGTTCTTTTATGCCATGCTTCCAAAGGGATATGTTTGTGTGTGGTGTATTCTTTCATAGCGTTTCTTCTATTGATTTTGCAAGTCTATAGTTGTCCCTCCTAGGTTAAGTATGAAATAGCTAGCTACATATTTTATTAAACATTTTTTCTATAGCCAGCCAGCCAGTGAATGTGGTGTCACAGTTTACCCCCTTCATTTGGTTGAAGCGCTGTGGTCAGGTAGTGTCTATTTACAAACTATCCTAATGACTTTAAGGGGGCAAAGCAAGTTAGTGCTTAATAGTGAAACCTCTGGAATCAAACTTCCAGGATTGCAGTTCTTGCTCTGTCACTTAATTGCTCTGGTATCTTGAGCAAGTTACTTAACTTCCTGGTGCCTCTATTTGCTTTCATAAAATGAGGAAAATAATAAAACCTACCTCATAGGTTTGTGGTGAATTACGTATATAAAAATGTCAGTATAGTGCCCAGAACGTATTAAGCTCTCAATAAATGTTAGCTACTATTACACCCAAAGAATTAATGAAGTTTCCCAGTTCTCTTTTTCCGAGTATAACTTAGGCCCTGAGAAATCTTTCTCAATCATTTTCCATTAAATTCCTGTTATAAATGGCATGTCATATTTTCCTTCTCTTCTCTAGTATCTCACTGAGCACTATTCTGTCTGTTAACCCTGTTCTTTTAAAGATTTACGGTCTGAGGAAAGACTATGTACCTGCTTTACATGAGTGCTGTGAAAGGAAATATTATCGAGGTAGCTGCCACTTAGAGGAGACACTGTACCTGAATAAAAGTAATCCGCTTCAAGCTAACATTAAAAAGATTGATGCCTATGAAAAATTTTATCTGAATTTTATTCTCCTAATTAGGTTTCCTTTTGTATTGAATCTTGGAATATTGCGACTTGTTTCACCAGAGATACTTCATTTTTTTTGTTTCTAGGAACTCTCTTCTCACAAGAAGCAAGGTCCTGGATTGCTAAGCAGGATGGGACAAACAGTCAGAGCTGTTGCATCCTCAATGAGAGGAGTTAAAAACCGCCCAGAGGAGTTCATGCAAATGAATAACTTTATTGAACTATTTAGCCAGAAAATAAATTTGATAGATAAAATATCTCAGAGAATTTATAAGGAAGAAAGGGGTAAGTAGAATTACTGAAATGTGATTTCACTGTTGTTCAGTTTCTGATGAATCTTCACATATGTTGGTGTAGTATAGCAGCTACACCATTATACCTATAGCATTCAGTTAGAGAACTATAGCCATCACATTCAGTTAGAATGTCAGCTTCAAAGTGTGGCTTATTCCCAGCAATGTGGTGAACATTTCTGATTTCTAAATGATTTTGAAGGCAGTCTGCATTTTTGCTTTCACCAATCACTAGCTGCTCTACTTCCCATTCAGAGAAGATAGTGGTAAAGTAAGCCCGAGTTTAAGATTGTGGATGTAGTTGTACAGAGTTTGTGTTCAACATGGAACAGAGCTTAGAATCAAAGAAGTGATGTTTCAGGAAAGGGTTTTCACATTTTCTAGTAATTATTTTTTTTCTGGAGGGAACAGATACGCTGTATTAAACCTGTCAAAGTATGGCAGAGAGGTTTACGAATTCAAAAAGCTGCCTCTTTTCCTATTCTCTCTCTCTCTCTCTTTTTTAGTTTATAAATAAGAATTTATGATTATTTTTTCTAATTCTAATCACATGAAGATTTTTCCGTGATTTTCTAATTGCAATAAAAATAGATAACTGAGTCAGCAAATAATTTCCAAATATAAGTTGTTATTAGAGATGAGGAACTACTTAAATACAAACCAAAAGTCCCTAAGTTGATGGCTTATTTGTTAACTGTGCTCTATTAAACTGTACTGCCCATCAGGATAAGCTGGGAAAGTTTTTTTTCTAGTGTCCAGACAGTGTTCAAACATAATAAGTACTCAGTTAAAATTTGTTTAATGATTGAAAAAAAACCACAAATGAATGAGCGTAGCATTTGGAATGGTGTAGGAAAATATGCTTTATTAAGAATTGATTGGTTTTAAAAAGAGATATAGAAACAATATTATAACTGAATATTCTTTGTACCTTTTCTGCCTTCTTTTTCATGCATTGACACCTGATGAGATTATTGTAGTGACTGAATGTAGTATAATAATTTGTTTTAAACCTCCCTGGATTACCCTCATATTTATTGTTTGTCTCTTTTTAAAAAAAATCTGAAGAAGCGAATTATTGTAACTAGGTTCTGTGATTCTAGTTCTATTAGGTAGATTCGGGATGTATAGTTAGCTGGTATAGCAATTCAAAGAGATCTCTGGAAGCTATTGGCAATTAAGAGCCTTATAAGCTATCAATGAGTCTCAAAGAGTAATTAAGATGGTACCTGTTAAGCTCACAGTCTAGTTGGGAAATATATATATTAACAGACAGATTGCAGTGCAGCTAATTAAATGTTTGCATACAGATGTGATTTGAGTGGTATGTAAGCACATTGTAGAATTTTAGCAAAGCTTTGCCTATAAACATGAATATTATTTAGATTTAATGACAGGCATTGATATGTACACAAATTGAGAAAAGAAAGTGCAAAATTTTCTTTTTTAGAAATTAGTACAGTCTGGTCATTGTTTTACATAAAGACAGGCTTACACTCAGGAGGATGGAGTTTGGAAGGATTACAGAGGTGATTAAATGTTCATTAGGTAGCAACTAATATCTCATTGTTTTTAAATTTTATATTTAAAAATTTTTATTTGATACAAACTTTTAAAGTTTTAATAGTTTAATTTAGAGAAATACAGCAGATGTCAGCAAATTCTAATGATTTGTAAGATGGTTAAATATAGAGAATTTAATTGTATTATATGGATAGTGAACAAAAAATGCTCACTGCTTGTAAATTTTCTACTGCAAAAAGCTATATGTCATCGAAAATTAAGTGTGAAAGTAAAAATGTAAAATTGTAAAAATATTCACATTTTAAAATGAAATCTACATTTTGAATACATAGCATATAGCCAAACACTGAATGGTCTTTGGTTACTCATGTATGCATTCTTTCATTGGTATGAAAATATTTATTGAACACATTAATAACTCAGTCCCTGTTTTTTGTTGTTATTGTTGTTTTGTTTTGTTTTGTTTTTGAGCTGGGGTCTCACTCTGTCGCCCAGGCTGGAGTACAATTGTGCCACCTCAGCTCACTGCAACCTCCATCTTCTGAGTTCAAGCGATTTTTCTGCCTCAGCCTCCAGAATAGCTGGGGTTACAGGCATCCACCACCACCCCTGGTCAATTTTGTGTTGTTTTCATAGAGACAGGGTTTCGGCATGTTAGCCAGGATGGTCTATCTCCTGACCTCATAATCCACCCACCTCAGCCTCCCAAAGTGCTGGGATTACCGATGTGAGCCACTGCGCCAGGCCAGTCCCTGTTTTAAGGAGTATGTGGCCTGCTTGCATTTGAGTCATCAGGCATCTATAATACAGTGGGATAATGCTTTAATAGAAGTATAAAATTATGATAGGCTCATTGAGAACCAAAGCAACTATGAGTCCTTTGGAACAGAATCAGAGCAGATTTATTTGAACTGGAATTTAAAGGGTTGGAAGTAGATTGTCAGGTGATAGAAATGGAGAACAAGGCAGAGGGACATGTGCAAATGTTTTTGTTAAGAGAAATCATGGGATATCCATGAATGAACAAGCAATTTGGCTTGAGTTAAAATCTTAAGCAGAGAATTTCACGTTGTACCTTGAGAAGCAGACAGTGAGGACTAATGGTAATGGTTTAATCTAACTAATTCTAATTTAGCTACGAAGAGTCAAATTTTTTAATTTTTATTTTGGTGATGGAATCCCGCTCTGTCTCCCAGGCTGGAGTGCAGGGGTACGGGCTCAGCTCACTGCATCCTCTCCCTCTCAGGTTCAAACAATCCTCTTGTCTCTGCTTCCCAAGTAGCTGGGACTACAGGTGCATGCCACCATGCCCAGTTAATTTTTGTAGAGATGGGGTTTCAAAACATTGGCCAGGATGGTCTCGATCTCTTGACCTTGTGATCTGCCCGCCTCAGACTCCTAAAGTGTGGGGATTATAGGCGTGAGCCATCACACCCAGCTGAGACATTGAAAATTAATGTTCCTATACTGTGACAAAAATAGAGGGAGAATAGTTAGGATACCCTTGAGGCAGTACCAGTTAGAGATGCTGATGGTGGTGGAAGTGAAGATGAATACATGGGGTAGGTAGATGGATAGCTTGAGATATAGAAGTATTGGAATTGGTGATTGACTGGCTCTGTGTAAGTATGATTCTAGGATAACCTCCTGATTTTTTGCTTAAATCTGTGGATAGTAATTACCACTAACTGGAATATATAGTCAGAAAAAGAAGAGAAAGAAGGTAAGTTTTTTTTAGGGAATGTTGCCTATGAGGCACTCAGATATAGAAGTGTGGTAGGCAGAAGTCTATTATAGATATGATGGTCATATAATTTATTTTTCAAGCCAGGGAATTTTTGACAATGAAAAGGATTGTTGTTATTGATCACACTTGGACAGTAGTGATTCAAAGACTGACCTGGGCAAACCATGATGGCCAGTTGATTTAATGTAGGATGATATCTGTTTTCTTATGTTCTTTTGTAACAACATGTGCACAGTGAAGGAAATAAGGCCCTTTCTTGCTATCTATGATACAGGTATTTTGAAAACTTTTGTATATTAAAGAACTTATTAAGTCATTTGTTTTAGAATATTTTGATGAAATGAAAGAATATGGTCCAGTTCATATTCTGTGGTCAGCATCAGAAGAGGATCTGGTTGATATTCTAAAAGATGTTGCCAGCTGCATTGACAGATGCTGTAAGGCCACTGAAAAGCGGATGTCTGGACTCGCAGAGGCCCTGCTTCCTGTTGTACATGAGTACGTGCTTTATAGTGAAATGTTAATGGTAAGAATGCCTAATTCTAATTGTACCTCAGTCCCTTACCCGATTATAAGCTCTATAAAGACAACTATACTTCTTTTCTTTAAAACCAGTATCTTTTTGTCCTAGCTGGTTGTTTTGCATGTACATGTTCAATAAATATTTGTTCACCATGTACCTAAATAAATGAAGCAACCTATTCATAGAAAGCAAGAATCTTCAATACTCACTAGCAACACCAACAATTTGTCAGATTACACTTAGAGTTGAAGCATCCTCAATCGAAATTTATGTAGGGAATATGATTACTTTTTCCAAACCTTTTGAAATTTTACTTTAAAATTTTTTTAGTGTGTTGGGGATTTCTTTTCATGAAAGAACTGCTCTCCTGCTTCTAGGTACATTTGATTTAGCAATATATTTAGTACCATTATGTGGAAAGTACTTGAGTCAGATCTTGATGTTCTGCCTTCTGGTTTCTTTTAAAATAAATCTTTCAAGTTAAAATGTTTTTCTTTCACTATTTGAAAAGGCTTTTATTCCTCTTATATCAAAGTTTTGCATTTACTTCCTCAGTTCAAGTTAAGGTTTCTGGATATTTGGAATTTAGCAATGCTATCTGCAAAGCTAATGTTTTTCATCCAGTGTTTTTCTGTGCCCACAATACTTTGCACAGGCACATTGGCACCCTCAGGTCTCTGGTGTTTTTAGGGTGGTGGTGGGGAAGGAGTCAGCTTGCATTCAGATATATAGCTCCTTTTTTCTGTTCTTTATAATGGGAACCGTAGTTCCTTTTGACATGTACCTTTGATTTCTATCCATTTTTCTCTTTCTTTAAAACTTTTCCTTGTTTTGGTAAGTAAAGCTCACTTTGTTTTTCAGCTTGAGACCTGCCTCTCTTGTTTATCATGTGTAGGTTTCCTTTGACAGAGCCATTAAATATTGCACAGACATTTCAGGCTTCTATTGTTCTTCACTTTATTGGGGACCTCCTGTAAACAAAGCTTCTTGTTTCCCGGAAGCCTTCAGTGTTTCACTGTTGATGTTCTCTTGCCTCTCTCTATTTCCTTGGCTACATCTTTGGTTTCACCTCATCATTAATCACTCTCTTGTGTAAATCTTCAGGAAGATCTGGTTTGGATATTCTGTTTCCTTAATTAATGTTTTCTCCTATATTATATCAAGATGGAAATTATATAATTGAAGTCTTACATTATTAAGGGCATGGAAAATTGTAATACATATAATTATTTTATAGGTTCTCATTTGATTGAAATAATTTTTAGACTCCTAGGCTATAATAAGTAGTATTTATATAGCCGTTCTTGTTCTTTTTGATATTGGAATGTTCTCTTCAATTTGAGCTAAAATAATGAAAAATAATTCTTTGATTAAAATGATTAATTTCATGTAATTTTTTACCAGTTGTCCCCTGAAGCAACCTTTTACTTAAAACACATTTGTGCATATGAAGCCCAGTGCTTCATCTTTATTGAAACAGACCTTAAATAAATAGGACTGAATTAGAGAGTCAGTCCTTTGGGTCAAAGAAAGGAAGGTCTTTCCTGACATTAAGGACAATTAAGCATTGAGGTAAATTTAAAGGAATTTATGATAATTAGTTGAATTTTCTGTGGACTGCTTCGCAACTAGGAAAAGTGTTTGTTTCCTTTGAATTTTATATTTTTATTTTTTATTTTTTAAGAGACATGGTCTCACTCTGTTGCACAGGCTGGAGTGCAGAGGCATGATCATAGCTCACTACATCCTTGAACTCCTGTGATCTTCCCGTGTCTTTCTTCCGAAGTGCTGAGATGTGATATAGGTGTGAAGTACTGCACCTGGCCTGCTTTGAATGTCTTAAGAGTGCAAAACTCCAGGTGCAAAACTGTACTAGGTGATTCTCAGGATACTCTCTATTCTTAATGCTTTTTGGTTATTACTTAAATAGTGTAGAGCCATCTTGTTTGATGGAACTGATTTGTTTCTACTTTCTTTCCTTCTTTAAAACACCAGAAGGCTCTTCTCTTTTATGTCCTGTACTTCTTTTCTAGCTGGTTGAATTGTTTGCTTATCCAAAGTTGTATTTTTTCCTTAACCTGTTTAGGCCATTTGTGCTTATTAGAATATCATTCTTTAATGTTGTGAAAAGCAGCAAAAGATGAGTACAAATAAAAAGAGTCCTTGTGTCCATAAAGTCTAAGTTAGGTGTCTTGGAAGAAATGTGAATGACTTAAATACACTGGTATAATGAGAGATGTAGGTGGATTCTGCACTCAAATTTCTTCACACGGGTGCTTCAAGTTTGCAAACTCTAAAAACATGAAATCAAGCAAACAAGATGAAACTCCTATTGGTCAAAGAGGGAGCTATGATTTTTCATCAAACGCTTGGCTAACTGATTAATATTTTATTATTTTGAGCTAAAATAAAACGCTTAGGATATGAATGCATACTTCAGGTTTCTGATTTACCACCGTGATTTCCTGTTTGATTATCTGTCCCTTTGGAGTCAGATAAGAAGGCTGCCACAGAGTGTAGATATTTCCATTTAAGTGGTCCATGTGACCTTCCATCTGCAACTAGTTTATGCCATAGTATATAAATTTGGTGCTTCTGTTATTTTCTTGTTTGTTTTTCTCTTTACTATTTTTTAAGAATTGTACATGCCTAGAGTATTCCATCAAATGTTGTACATATGTACAATGCTTAAATGGGTAAAATGTGCACTGGGAAAACTAATAAAACATTTATGGGAAAAAACCCCTCTTACATACTTTATTTCAGTTTACCTTTTAGAGATTAAAGAAAAGAAACAACTTTTTGAATATGTTATATCCCCAGTTGACTGATGCCTTGGGGAAGAGATGCTATTTATATTCTTTATATTATAACAAAAACATATATTTTTGTTATAGGAGATTATTAAAACTAAGTACAGCCTATTTTATCCATGTGTTTTAATGTAAAGGGTGTTATGAAAAGAAGAGACCAAATACAAGCAGAACTGGATTCCAAAGTTGAAGCTTTGACCTACAAAAAGGCAGATGCTGATCTGGTAAGTTTTTCGGTTTCTTGATACAACTATGTAGAATTTATTGTCTAAAATTTTTATTAGCAATGTAGAGCTTCTTTACATGATTGTTTCTAAGCATTCAGCAAATTCTAGTAAAACTACTTTTTAAAATCTACTATACATTGAATACCATGTGAGTTTACAAGCTTAATGATGATGCTTTTCTGACTTATGTCTCATGCTGTTAGTTCTAGTAAGAAAGGCAAAGATTAGGGGAGTTATAGTTATTGTGTAGAAAGATTGCAGTGATGTGACATTTTTTAAAAAGGAGATAACATGTTGGAAAAAAGTATAAAAGGTAATGCTAGCATTATTCTAGCCTGGTAACTACTCAGTAAATAAATCTACTTTTTTTCTCACTTTTTGAGATTTTCATATAAAATACATTAATGTTTCCATATGCTTTTTTCTAGGTATTGTTAAAATCTTCATGAAAAGGGAGTATCTTTGTTTGCAAGTTTAATCTTCCCTTTAAGATATTTTATTATGGAAATTTTCAAAGAAAATGAGGTCTAATAACATATAATGAGTTCTTATATGTTCATTACTGGGCTTCATTAATTCTGAACATTTTGCTCAACTTTTATTGTCTCTCCTCATTTTAAATTTATACTGAAGTATTATAAAGCAAATTCTAGATATAGATTATTTTACCCATGGTATTTTTGTATTTATATTTTAGTATCTTTGCATTTTCAGAGTAATATTATCGGGTAGGAAGAATTATTCTCATTTTAAAAGAGAAAAGACACTTGAAAGAGAGTAACTTGCGTAAGTTTATCTGAAGGTCTTGAAATGCAGTGTAGGATTGGAGGTGATGATGTCTCTTGCCTGCCTCAGACAGTGCTCCCTGTCGGAAAGCAGGTACAGAAGAGAGAGAAATGGATTGTTACTCTAGTGAACTTCTATTGAGTGCATTATGAAAGATTTTTCAAATTTTCCTTTTTAATTAAGGATTTAGGTGGTTATTGAATACAATATTGAGTGCACTTACATCAGGTGAGTGGGGGAGTCCTTGAAACTTCTTGTAAATGTGTAGTGTTGCAGCCTCCTCAGCCCTGACCTGGCCAAGGACTCTGCATCCCGTCCCCCCCAGGCACTTTAATTTTCTCCCAAACTTTGATCACTTTATAACATAATATATGACTTCCTAATTAGTTTTCTTTGTATGTATTTTACTTCTCTTGCCCTTTCCATAATTGAAACACCTTAAGGGCAGATTTTTGTTGTTGTTCACTGGGTATTCCCAGACCTTGTGCACTGCCTGGCACGTGGTAGTCACTCAGTAAATACATAGTGAAGGAACAAGTGGAAGCTGCAGTGACTACTCTGATTTGTGAAAACATATTGAAGACCTGAAGCATGAAGTCTCTGCAAAATCAGACAGTGCAATTATTTAGTTATTTAATCAGTATTGTGAAAACCAGTAAAAGATGAGTACAAATAGAGAGTCCTTATGTCTACGAAGTCTAACTTGCATGTCACTATGCAACTTAGAATTCTTATGCTATGAATTATTTTCATGTTTCTTGACTATGTATATTAACTGAAATGCTATTCTCCCCAGTGGAATGTGAGTGGGGAGTGGTGGGCTGCTGTGGACAGAGTAGGAGAAAGGAATCTGAGACAGAATAACAGAAAATATAGAACTAGAGGAACCAGTGCTCAAGGGAAAAAATAATCTTTATGATTTAGAGAGAACCCAACATTAACCTTTTCCATTTAATAGGAAACAATCAACTCCTAACTCTCTCAATATATATATAGTTAAGAAACATATGTGTGTATATATGTTTCTTATATACACACACATGTGTATGTATATATACCTATATAAGTATACATATATTCTTATATATATGTAAGAATATATATATGAAACATATACATATGTTTCTTAACTATGTATACGTAGAGTTTAGTCAATTAGAAGGAACGATGAAAGGATGGATGTGTGTATAGAAATTGGAATTGCATCTTTTGAATTTTACAATTTGTTTTTAGTTGTTAAATAACTAAGGATATTAAATTTAGTGGTTAGACAGAATTTTGCTCTTGAAAAAATACGAGGAATAGTAGAATATTTTAAAGTTTCAGGAGAATAATAGCATGGCTGAAAAACCAAGCATATGTTCAGAATGACTTATATTCATGTTTTAAAATGAAAGGAAGATTAGTTGGGATTGTTCCAACCACAAAAGCACAAGGGAAAAAAAAATAGCTTGGGTTCAAATATGGCTCGGATTTCCCAACTTAGTTTAAAAAAACACATTTATTTTTCCATTGGGCTTGCAAATATTTTGTCTTCTGTTTAATCAGAACTTCCTTGATACCGAATTATAACTTAATCATCAGTATATATTTATGATTTCATTAGTGTGTGTGTGTGTGTGTGTGTGTCTCTGTGTGTGTCATGCATGTCTGCTATGAAGTGTTTAATACTCATGTAGTTGCTACACTGTAAGATTGTAAAAATTTTAAACTTTGATTATTTGCATTATAGCCTGTAAGATACTTTTGGTTGATTAAGTTTCAAAACAGGCACATTTAACAGAGGCATTGCAGGTATTTTTTTGTTACTCATCAAAACAAATCTTTCCTAAAATTTATGGGGACTGATTTAATGATTTGTAAATGGCACTGTTTATATTTTCAAACAATTAATTTGTTTATAGGCCTTCTCACTTCCAAAATCCCTGTGTCTTAGGATGGTATCTTTGGGAGAAACCTACCTGAGTTACTCTAAAAATGAACCGGCCATGATTGGCCACAGAGAGACTGAAAGGAAGTTGCTTAGAAATATGCAGGATAGGGTCACCATGGCAACGTGCCCTTGTGAGGTCCTTCTAAGGAGCAGTCCTTTGCAGTCACCATGACGACCCTGGCAGAGAACTGAATATAGCAATCCGCCTGGTGGTTTACCATGGCAACTCAGACAGGGCCATTTTGGAGACAACCTTGGGGCCATTTCTATGGAGACATTGGGGCAGCCTTCAGAGGTTCCATCAAATTCACCTTTGGGTGGGATGCTAGGTGCAAACCCAGCAAAGCGACTGATAATGAAAAGGTCAGTGAAATGAAGCTCTAGTAAGAAAGGCAAAGATTAGAGGAGTTATAGTTATTGTATAGAAAGATTACAGTGATGTGGCATTCCAGAGGACATTTGACTATATCAGGTGACCTTTGTGTGGGTTTTGTGGCATGCAAATACAAGAGCTCTGGTCTTTTTACCTTGCCTATAACCCTGCATGTGTTGCAAATGAACAATAATGGCATCCCAGTTATTTTTTCTTATGACACAGATATATCCACAAAAGGTATGTGTCTTTCTGCAAACTAATAATAGTTTAGCTGATAATATAAATAGTATTTATAATAAATAATAATAAAATAATAGCTGATAATGAAGTCCTTCATGTATTACCTGGGTAGTTGTAAAGTGGCTCCCTCTTAGAGTTTGTGGTTTGTAGTTCTTACCTCACAGCAATAAAATTAATGGTTTCAAAATGACCTAAGTCAGTAAAGACATTCTGAATATTCATTTGAAGGTCAGTTCAACTGTTTATGTAGAGTTTTGTCATCAAAGCTTTGGAACTTGATAGATCAAAGATCAAATCCTAGTTCACCTGTTTATTTATGTTGTGACCCAGGACAAGTTTTCTAACTTCTTCTAGCCTCATTTTGCCATGTATAGTTTGAGGAAATTATTAGTACCTTTCTAATAGGCTTAAGGATTAAATTACATAATGCAAATACATTGTTTGGATCATAGTAAGCTAAAGTAGTATTTAGCTGCTGTTATTTTGATGATGGTATAGAGGTAATATTTGAGATTGGTCCTATGAAATAGCTATGGAATTGTTTATTGCAAAGCACAAGGAATATTTCAGGTAGCATGGATATTATGAAAAGTATTACAAGCTCAAAAAGCATGCTAAATTGATTAAATGAGATTGGCTCATGGAGGGGAGGGTACTCTGAGGAATAGGGGATGTGACTTAAAGGTGGACTACAGTCAGGTGGAAAGGAGGGTTGAGAAATATATACTGTCAGATTGAGAAATATATACTGTATCCTTTGGTCAGTATGGATATAGTGAGAACCTGAACTGAAGAGGGAGGCAGTGGAGTGGCAGAGAAGAGTTAAGTTGAGAAAGAGGTAGGCAGAGGGTAGGATCCATGTCACTTAAAGAATGAGGGGCAGCCAATGTTTCAAGTTACTAATGACTCTAGCATTTCTGACTTGCAGCAGGGCAGATGGTGGCTCTCTATGCTGAGCTACAGATTAAAAAGTGAAGAAATTTGGAGGTGTGCAACTTTACATATTGATAAGATGATATTTAAGGTAGAGGTATTCAACAAAAACTTTTCAGTGAAGTTAATTAGGTATTTACCATATGAACGTCACTATTCACAGCACTGGGGAAAGAAACCAGTTCATCATGAGGCTTATGTTCTAGTGGGTTAAAAAAAAGTTAATAACTAAAACTTATAGTATGTTGTGATATAGCGATAAGTGTGAAGGAGACAGAATGTTGAGGAGCAGCGCAATTTAGAATTAGAGGTCAGTAAAATATTCACTAAGGAGATAATGTATAAGTAATATGTGTACCTGGGGGAAGAGGCTTTCAGGCAGAGGGGACAGTATATGCAAAATGAAAGTATGCTTGTACATTCCAGATAATACAAGAAGGTCAGTGTTGCAGAAATGAAGTGAGCAAGTAGAAGAGTTGTGGGAAATGAAGTCAGAGAAGTAACCAGGGATTAGATCATATAGGGTCTTATAAGGTTTTGATCTCAGTGAGACAGGAAAATAGTTGAATAGAGGAGTAACATAATCAAACTTAAGTTATAAGATGATTATTGTGCTTGGGAAAAGCACAAGATGATGTACATATGCTATGTGCATGGGATGGAGGAAAGCCGGAGCTGGAGAGTAGCTCTTACAGTGTTCCCAGTGAGACATGATAGCTTGGACCAGAG